CCCTGGGAGGGCAGCCTCCTCCCGCCCGCTGCCCTGGCAGCCCGTGGGGAGTGGGGGGCTTTTTTTTGGGGGGGGGATACACGACCACGGGGAGCAGAATCAGAGCAGACCCCCCCAGCAGCCTCCTTGTTCAGCCTCTCTGTATCTCGCAGGAGCTCTCCCCAGGCTGGGGTTTGAGCAGATGGCCCTGGAGGTCCAAGAAGCCGACAGTGACCTCGCGCAGAGCGGCGGCGTGCTGGAACCGCAGGTAACGCTCCCTGAGCTTTCTTACAGACACCCGAAAGAGCGGGGGTTGGCCTCAGGCCACAGCAGCCTTCTCTGTGCCCCCGGGGCCAGGGGTGGTTTGGGGCCCAACATGGTGCTGCTTGGGATGGGAGTATCTGTTCGTCGCCTGCTGGGGAGCAGCCAGGGCTGGGACCAGCTGAGGCTGCCCAGAGCTGCAAGGGGCTCCAGCACTCAAAGGAGGGCGGTCCAAGCCCGCACGCCTGCAATCCATTTAATTAACCCCAAGCGCAGCCCAGGAAGCCTCTGCAGAGCAGGAGCTCACCGGGCAGTGCCGCGTCTTGCCTGGCTCGGACCCTGGGGTCTCTGTTCGGGCAGAAGGCACGGCACCCTGCACTAAAGTCGAGGCTGCGCTTCAAAATAAACATGTGCGTAAAGGCCTCGAGACATGGTGGACGAGGCAGTGATGCCCGCAGAGAGCCCACGGAGTTCAGCAGCGATTTCCAACAGGTTGAGCCCAGAGTTGAGCATGACAGAGCTCTCCGCTGCTGGCAGCGGCAGGTTTCAGCAGCCACTCTTGGCTCTCTCCCACGCAGTTCTTTATTGCTGGCCCGGTGGTCCAGCACCAACTCTTTCCCTCCTCTTCCTCCTCTCTCTCCGGCAGGCATCGTCCACGGAACTGCAAGCTGCGGGCCGCGAAGAGCGCTCCCCCCGCCGCTGCGTCCGCCTCCTGGAGTCCTGCCTTGGGCATCAGGTCCCCTGCTGCGACCCCTGCGCCACCTGCTACTGCCGCTTCTTCAACGCTTTTTGCTACTGCAGGAAAATCAGCACCAGTTTCCCCTGCGGCAAGAACTAGCGCCCGTGCCGCGGGGCTGCCCTCTCCTTGCCCACGCGCGCCGCCTCCTCCTCTGCAGCTCCAATAAACCAGCCGTTAGCAAAAGCCGTCGCCGAGTGGGAGTGGTTCAATGCGTCCGCTTGGGATCTCAGGGGAAAGGGGTAGCAGCAGGGTGCCGGCACCTGCACCCAGGTGGGCACCGTGTCCTCACAGCCAAGAGTCCAGGGCAGCTCCACGTAAAACAAAATTTCCCGGCTAGATGAGTGGTCTCTCAGCAGGAGGGGTGCCCCAGGAGGTGATATTTCGGCTGCGCTGGGAGCTTTACTTGTGTTCTTCTCCTGCCAGTATCGCTGACGGTGGCCCTGGGTGCTTTTCACCTAGGGACCCTGCGAGCTGTCAACCCCAAGGAATCAATGACCAAGGGGGTACCTGCAGCATGGACGCAGCATCACCTCCTCCACCACTAACCCGAACG